GAATCCTCCATGACCCCCTGTGGCCGTCAAATGGTTTGTTCATTTTGGCCATGTGTCGGCCATTGAAAGGTGCGGGCTGTTGAGTTGCTTCAGGCCGTGAACTCATTTGAGCGGTCCATGTCCTTCCCTGCAACCTGCACAGTGCTGACACCGGAGATGCCGCACCTTCCATCCCGAAGCTCATGTGGCTCAAAATTAGGGAACCCCCCCCCAACCAAATGATGGTGGTTTCCTGTTGGTTGCCCCCTGACACGAGGGGAGACACCTGAAAAAAGATGGGGAATCCCCAAACAGGGGCGCCAAGCCAAAACCGTGAAGCGCAAAACAACAGTCATGGCTTTTGCGGACTCCAAGGTGGACGGGCTCCGGCCGCTCGGCTCATATTCGGAAAACAGCGGGCTGGATCCAGCCCCCCAAATGCCGTCCAAACGGCCGGTCGTCTGGGTGGCGCTGGAGGGGAGGTCCCAAATTTCCGGGGGCTTCCGCTGGACGGTGTTTGACAGGACCGACCAAAAGGCCTCGAGTTGGGTGTTGCTCCACCGACTCGGTCCATGTCCTTTGGCTGAGTTTCCAGTCTGTCTGTAATTCCCAACGGGCTGCGAAAAATTCTGACATCCAGGTCGAGAAAGCCCCCCCAAATTTGAGGACGCCCAGTCCCCGGATAGGTCTCGACCCCAAACAAAGGTCGAGTCAGTCGGCGCATGCTCGCACTTCTGCGCAGAAAACGCCGATGAAAATCATCGGAATCCGTCGGTGCAAATCTGGACGGCAACATTTTGACCCAGATGGGGGCTCCAGCTTGAGCCTTCAAAACTGCTCTTGATCTCGAGAACCGCATTCGAGCTTTTGTAGTGAGCAGGGGTGCCTACCTTTCCCAGTGGATCCCCAAGTCAGCATATATACATATATACGCATTGTACTAGGCAAGCCATTGTCCTTGTGGTGTTGAAAAGGTAAAAAGATCAACTGAAAAAAAAAAACACCTGCCACTATTTTCGGTAGTGGCAGATTCACTTTGAACCCAAACATGAAACATGTGCTTTAGCAAAATGTTTTTACACATGGGTGTGGTTTGCTGCTTTTCATTGACCCTCTACAAGAATCAGCCAAACACCAGCCAACTTGAAAGCACCTCACTTGCACCAAACAGTGGAACTGACGAATCCAGCAAAACACCACTCAAGTGAAGGCCCTGGCATGAACCTGTCGCAACTCATATGGGTAACCTGAAAGACGCCTGGGTCCGTCTTATTTTGATGGTAACCCCCTTTGTTGTTGCTTTAATGGACACTAACAGGAACAAACACACATATGTTTTTCCCGGGCAAGGGGGGGGGCGCCCCCCAAACAAACAAAAGGCCACCCCATATGGAAAGCCTCGAAAAAGACACCTATACATCCAGCCTTTGATTCAGATCGTGTCCAGCAATAGCATCCGTGGGGCAGATTGATTGAAGCAGACTCTGGTTGCTATGTTTTGTTTGAGGGCTTCAGGGGAAAAACAAAAGGTTGATTCCAAATCTTCTTTACCCATTCTCTTCAGAAACCACCAATTCATTCTAGAGGTTTGATGCTTGGCCCCTGTGTGTCTGTTTTCAGGGAGCCCCCAAAAAGGGGTTCCCTCAAAACACACTCTAAATTGCTTTGATCTAAAGAACAATTACATCTCGGCCTAGCACACAATCCAGCATGAAGTCTGGGTTTGTTCATGGCTGAGGGCTTCCATGGACGCATGGTCCAAAGGTCGGAAAATAAAAAAGACGCGTCTTTACGAAATGTTGGCAAAGTACACGGGTTGCATCACAGCACAACCAATTTGGCTTTTGTTTGAACAGAATGTGAACATGCCAATGTTCAGTTCCAAACCTCTCGAGCCCAAATAAATGTGTGTCTAATGAAATAGGGGATACCAACAAACTGGTGGTGATCCTTTGGGTTTCCGGTTAAAACCTACCAAACCCGTGTCTTGAAATAGGGGATACCAACAAACTGGTGGTCATCCTTTTGGGCTTCCTGTTACCTACCAAACCCGGGCACCCGCAAACGACACAGCCTTTTATGTGTCAGCCGCCGGATGCATCGCTCGATCGGATCCCGATGCGAATGGATTGACCAGCACTGGTGAAGAACGCCGCATGGTGCCCGCCGGACACTCAGACAAAATGGCTATGGATGAAACATAAGTACCCAAAATGGAACCCTAGATGGAAACACGGCCGAACTTTTGCGCTTTGCATTTCTGGTGAGTTCATTTTGACCCATACCCAAATTGTTTCATGAGAAAACTGGGTTGTCCATTTGGGGTGCTTTCACTTGATCGCAGGTCCGATTCTCCGATGCCAGACCGCCAATAGCGAAATGACGCTTGTTGGTAAAGCTTTTCACAACTTCTGCCCCGGCCGAAGGGATTGAATGGCCGGAGCCATTCAAGCCCCCGCCCACCCCCACCTACCCCCCCCCCCCCCTCCCCCGCCACCCCGCCCCCCCCAAAAAAACAACAACAACAACTAAAAAGACGGTAACTTCAGAGGAAAAAAGGACGGTAACTTCAAAAAGAAGACTCAACCATTTCTTCCACTGTCTGTCCAGCGGAAGGACGACCACGTACATGACTGCTCATCGGATAAGCAGGAAAAAAACACGGCCCAAAGCGAATGGAGCCGAGGGAAATATATGATGCAAACAGCTTATTTCGAAGGGGTCCAGCCTTTCGCTAACGAAAGGGTGCAGGTTCCTGCAAATGGTCTCGTCATGTCGGGTCAACTGCCCTTGGGACAGAGCCGAATTCCAACTTGGAAATTCAGGGCGAACAAAATCGATCAGCAGCCTATAATATATTCAAAAGGAAACCCACATCTCACATCCAACATGTCAAGCCGATGCAAGGCGACCATGTAGGTGGGCAAACCAGCGTGGATGCTGGCACACAGGCCAGCCAGATTCATCGAGAACCCTCTCGGATTGATCAATCTTCTTGTCAGACAGTATGGTTGGACCAGCTGTTCAAACATGTTCAAAAATGTTCAACCCACAGAAAGACATAACTTCCCCCCTTTTTCCCTTCAAGATGAACCACAAAATCGGGGGCAACTCCATCTTGATGGCTCATTCTCAGCCGGGAAATCCTACCCTGGCGTCGTTGATGAATCCGAGGTGACGTTACTTGCGCCTTGGTCCCTTGGGGATCCCTGCGCCGCGGCGCGTTTTCCGAGAAACTCTTTTCGGAGCCCGCGGAAGCCGGAAGCCAAGGGCTCCGTGTGTCCCATCCATTCTCTGAACTCTCCATGGTTGTTGATGGGGTGAGAAAAAGCCTGGGTCAAATGTGGGGAACCACTTTTCACATTGGAGGGCAATATTTTCAGATTCATAAACTGGGGTTCATGAAATAGGGCCTCCAGTAGAGGTTAGAAGAAAGGGTACCAACTTTTTTCTGTAGTCTATTTTAGTAGGGGAACCCTCCCCCGAAAATGGGTAAAAGGAGCACTACTGGGGGACCTAATTGAGCCCCCTGAAAAAAGAAGAATATATTTCCAGTAGTGATAGACTCCCTTTGAAACCAAGAGGGGAACCTAAAACACTGGGGAGAAAAAAAAAAAAACATGCAGCGGGGTGTTGCATAGTAAACCCTAGTTGGGACAAAGGCGTGCAGGTTGCAACTGGCCGCCACAGAGCAAGCTATCTCAGCTTAACCTTTTGGAACCACGGTGTACCAAAAAGGGGCAACAAAAAGGTCAAAAGGTCGATTCGCTCTGGGCAACTGAGCCACAGCTTCCCAGCGCTTCCAGTAACTGTCGTAGCTGGCTGCTTGCCCGCCAAGTTTGTCCTGCTTGTGCATATTTGGCCGTGGCTAAAAACACGGTACGCAAAATGGTACCCTGGCAACTGGAAACACAATTCAGAGCCTGTACCCCTCGCTCTTGAATGTCTACTTTTTTGTGTGACAACTAAAAGCGCTGCGTTTTACAATAGCTCCCTTGACAAAAGACAAAGTTGACACGCTTTCGATAGAATTCCCCCCGCTACATGTTTGACAGGGCCAAAGGAACAAGGCCTGTAAAGCAAAGACCTGCCACACCATAAGTTGCATAATAATGCCCCAACCTTCAAAGTGACTTTTCCACGGTCGGTAGCAGGCAATTTCTAAGTCGCTTTTTGCCAGGGCAACAACTAGAGTGATCAGCATAGACAGCCCATTCAGTTAGGACAAACTACAGGAAGCCTCTCTCGGCTGAAACAAAGAACGTCTTTGGACTTACCGCCCTTCCAAGTACCATCGAAGTAGGGGTCCCGAAACCACATGTTCACCTAAAGGCAAAACATGCAGCGCGTAACTGGCGCTAGACTCCTACACTCGTCTTCTCGTGAATCTACTTCTCGGTTGCTTTCTGCTTTTTCTGCTAAAAGTTTAACTTTTAGTGGTTTAATTGGAAAACCCACTAGTTGGCAAGAAGTTAAAGTCCTAACATCCAAGCGACATGCACCAAAGACTTCTCGTGAATCCCCAGCCCATTTGCAGCTCTATGGCAGCTGACTTCAGAAAGGCATCCGAAAGACCATCAAGATAGGCAGCAGGATTGGGTCTTGTGTTTTGGATCTTCGGCGTAAGCGGTTGGCCATTCTGGGACCAAATCTTTTGTGTTTTGGATTTTCAGCGTAAGCGGTTGGAGGCTAAACCCACTTGGCAGGTATAAGTGAGCTACCGGACGGCTACCAACAACTTGGCCCAAGCAGTCCTCTTGGAAATACCCTGAAAGCTTCCATTTGCTTTTTCGCCCGCTGAAATAAAAGAGAACATATTTCCGGTAGTGAAATCCATTCTCTTCTAAACCAACCAGCGAAAATCAACAAACACGTTCCTGGCAGCAAATGAAAGACCGTGCCCTTCCCCCAAAAAGATCTTGTAGGCCGAAATGAGGGGCTTTTCGGTGGGCGCTCCAAAAATGCAGATGGGTCCAACACGTTCGCAGCTCGCAGCTTCCGGAGTCCGTCGGGATTTTCCCTCAGAGGGAGAGGCGGCTCGGCAGGATGAAGTTGGACTTGCGCAGCACAGAGACGCGGCTCTGGTAGGGGCTGTCTGGATCCGAGTCCGACCTCGGCCACATGGAGGTGAAATGTTTGATTCTTGTTTCGGGTACCCCTTCTTTGGTGGCTTTGAAGGACTGCCAGAAGAAAAACAACCCAGTTTGAAGGGTCTCCCTAAAAAAGACACCCAAATGGAGGGAGGAATGTGTGTGTGTGTGTGGTTGCGTGTGTGTGTGTGTGTGTGTGTGTGTGTGTGGGTGGGTGGGTGTCAGCCAGAGCCATTTCTGAATGGTTGCTGTTTTCTCTACCGCAGGGGTTACACGTCGATCCAACCCAAAAACGAGGAGTTTGAACAGGGATCCTTACATCAAAACCACCTGAACATGGCAACTTGTCTATTTGGTGGTTTCCAACTGTATTTTGGTGTTGACAAAGCAACATGTTTCAAATGGTTGCAAAGTGGAGATCTTTTAAGGAGCCCTGAAGCATCTTGCCTTCCCTCAAAGGGCTCCGTGAGCCGCAAGTGGCCCTCGCGGTCTTTTTTTAATGAAAGGGGAGCGGTCCAACTCACGGGTTGCCCCATTTTCCCTGGGACTTGGAGTGGTTTGAAAGGGAGACAAAAGGAAAACACCATTGTGGGGTACCTCCCTAAGGGAGACAAAAGGGAGACAAAAGGGAGACCCCTGGAACTTGTTTGGGCCCCCCATAAGGCCTAGTCAAGACCGTGGCATGGTAGTTCGCGCAGGGAAGTCATTCTTGGCAAACTATGTTTTCTCCACCCGAAAAGAACAACGAAGATCCTTATGAAAGAAACCAATGTATTGACCCCCAAAGCAGATAGTATCAAAGTTATCTTACTGGCCAGCTGATGACCAGCTCTGAACTTGGCTTTGTTTGATGCAACGAGTCAAGCCTGCAGGGTACGAATCCATAAATCCCTCCAGATTCTTCATGTGGGTCTGCCTTTTTTGGAGGGCACCGTTCTGTTTGGTTTTAAAGGGAACCCAAGAGGAAAACCACCTTTATTCTCTTGGGAGGGGGGGGGTCGCCAAAAGAAAAACACCCTCACAGCTAAGAGTCAAACGCTGGGAACTGCCAAGTGAAGTATTCTGGCAACTCCCATGGCCGATTTTTTGTTTTTAAACTCCGCGTCGGTCTTTTGCAGCCTTCGGCTTACGCGATACGTTGGAGGTGATCTGAACCCAACCTGTGCGTCTGCGCGAAGTGGATCGAGGTTAACAGCTTTGCAACGATCGACTTAGTCTTGGTCCCAAAGCACTTTTGGACTCACCATTGACATGTAAGGAGGAACGTGAAACATCTATTGGAACTCTATGACACAAAGCACACGCCCATGTTATTTGTCGCGACAGAAAGGAAAAAGCATGGACCGTTGCCATTGGAGGCGACGACCCTGGGCCACGGGGCCGCGTCACTTGCACTGGTAGCACGGACTTCCAGCCTAAGGCGCGCGCGGAGAGGTGGGGCGTTTTTTTTTTTCATCGGCAAAGCAGCTCCAACCATTGTCCTTTTGGGGCAAATAGATGGGTTTTTTACTGGTAGATGCCGCAAACCACCAGGTAAACCAAGGATCGCCCTCTATTTTTCGACCACAACGACCAAAAAGGACACCTATGGCTCTAACATTCTGTGAGCGTGAGGAAAAAAGGTTGGCTTTGAAGTTTTCCGCAACCCCGGGAACCAATTCTTGCCTTGAGGAACCTGGCGGTTGACAAGAAACAAATACTCTGATCATTTTGTCTGTTGCTCATGCTGTGGATTCTGGTGGGGGACCCTTTGGTACACATCATCTAGGTGGGGATTTGTGTACACCAACCACTGGGTGTTCTTTATTAAAAAGTCATATCTTTCTAAGTTCCCAGTGTTGGCAGGAACGAGGGAAACCAGTGTCCAATCATCCGAAATAGGCAGGAGGCTGGGATGTATGCCTCCAAACCAACCTCCAGTGCTCCCCGCAAGCTCAAAACTGGCCAAGCAATGAACCCTCTGCTTTCAAAGCACGGGGCCCTTCTGGAGGCCGAAATGTGGCGCAGTAAAATATGACGACGTGCAATGCAGTGAGACAGTGAGACAGTGAGACGTAGTGACGAAGTTATGATGCGTTGCAGCGATGGCATGTTGACAGACCTGCGGACCGATTGCTCGGCAACGGGCTGATGAACTCCACATGACTATCCTTTCTGGGGTTCTAGCTCGGAAAGCGCGAAGCATGCTGAAATTGGTTTATTCCAGTCGGGGCATCTAAAATGTTGTCTGGAATGAAACCTGGGCGTGTTTTCAGTCGCATTCTCATCTTAGATCGCTAAAACTTGCGCCCAAATCTGGCCTCGTGACAGTGCCGCGCAAACCAACCGCCGCAGCAGGCAAGAATGACCAGGGACCCCCCCCCAGTGCGAGTTCTCCAGCCTGGCTTCAGTGATATGGAGACATGCTGATTCAAACAGATCCCATGCTTCTTTGTGCCCGTTTATGCCATTTCAGACCCAGTGGATCCACTGGCAACGCCAGCTGAGCTTGGGATGCTGACTCGAAACGGATCATAGCGGTCTGTGCTTCCTTTGATTCATGTTTGGGATCCACAGTGGGCTTAATCAAAGATCCTTTGCATGGGATGGGGAAAACCACTCAAAAGATGATGTGCCCCCACCTGGGAACAGTTCCCTATGTGGTCACTTGAGGGTCGAACAAAAAATATAGCTCAAGCCTCATGTGGCCGTGTCTTGTTCTGAGGGTTCCCCCCCCATTTTTGCGGTTTAAAGGACCAATCAACGGAAAGCCGCCGTGTTCTAACTCAGTCCTGGTCTCAAACTTCCGACGCGGATGGCGTTCAACGCCCACGAAGATTCTCCGAGCTCCCGAGTTGTGCCTGTTGAGACACGCTGAACCCGATCCGTGCATTTGAGGTCTGGTGGTTTCAACCAAAGTAGCGCGCCTTTTTTTTAGGGTACTCGTTTTTCGGTGGCTCTAAAGCAGGCCTGTGGGACATGGAATCCACAGAAGTGATACGACAAAAAAGGGCCTCCCAAAGAATACCCCCCATTTAAAGAGGGGATTCCCTTGTATCACGGAAGTGGGAAGGATAAACATCTTGATCCCACAACCCTGCTTTCAAGGGAAGCCAGAAGGAACATCACCAATTCCCCCAAAACAAAAGCGTCAGCGACCAACGACGCAAAGGGGTATGCTGGGTCCTCCGGCCATCCTCCTCCACGTCGACGTCCTGCGGAACCACCGAAAGGTCCTGGGCGCGCATCAAAGGTGTTTCTCGTTTTCGCCCGCCGGGCAAACAACACATCCACCGTGAGGGAATCCCCCACTTTCCAAAAACCGGATCCGTTTTTGGGTTTCCGCAGGTGGGGCGCGGGATCCCTGGGTTGAGGGTGGAAGTGGAAGGTGCCCCTGGAAATTTGAGACCAGGAAACATTGGCGGATGGAGACCCAAGACTTCGAATTCCAGCGGAGTGGATTTTGTCCAGGACAAGTTGGAAAGGTCTGCCACAATCTTGGAAGCGAGGGGCAGGGTTGGTTTGGCTTGGCCGGCGTAGGCATCTTTCTGGCTTATTTGGATTTTGTGCAGTAGTGCAGCATCACGACAAAGCGCTCTGTGAGCGAGGCTTTCACCAAAGTGACTGGGTATCGTGAGTTAGGTCGCTGGTCAATGAAAGATAGGGAGGTGACCAATGGATCAGCCAATATGCTGTGTCTATCATTGTGGAAATGCTTTTATTTGGCTTTGTGGTTATCCTTCCTACATCCTATTTTCGTATCTTGGAGATTCCAGAGAATAGAATGGATTGGAGAAAAGAAGAGCACTCACAAAGCCATCTATTCCTTACCCAACTGCCTCGTTCCTCAGCTTTTAGGAGTTAATACTTATTGTCTGGATCCCTTCCCTTGCTCTCTCATTCCATTCCTTCGCCAATGGTCAAGTCCCAGAGTTAATATTGGATCATAAGAAAGACAAATGACACAAAGATGTGTTGGCATGTCTCTTCACACAAACACTGACCCGCAGCTCTGAACCTCTAAAAAAAAGCAACGCGGCTTACCTTACTGGAAAGGGGAAGGGGCCGATTGCTAAATGCAACTATCATTGAGCCTCACTTGAAGCAGAAAAAACCAAATCGCTTTAACCTAAAGTCATTGGGACCCCGCAGTATACTGGTAATAGCTCATTGTTGCACTGTGAGCCTGGTCAAATCAAACACTGACACAAACCTAGGTCCTCCAGTAGAGAGGCTGGAACAGGGGTACCCTTTTTTTGCAGTCTATTTTAGTAGACGAAAACCCTCCCAACCAAAGGGTTGAGAGTCCGGGCACCACTGGCGGACCTAGAAACATTTGAGAGGTTAAAATAAGTTGGTGCCCTATTTGTTTTCTGTCTTGTCTATTTTAGTAGGGGAACCCTCCCCCAATAAAGGGGTGAGAAAGGGCACCTTGGGGGACCTAGTTGTGCTCAGAATGCAGGTCCTTGAAGAATCCCATACGTTGGCGCAACAAGGCGAGGCTCCAGCAGCTTCAGGCTGGGGCATAATGTGGAACATGCGTGTGTTTTTTGAGTGTACCTCTTTTTCGGTGGTGTTGAAGGAAAACGAAAGGACAACCACAACCTTGGGGGACACACCCAGATTGGTTGCCCTCATAAACCAGCTTCTTGGCCGCCAAGACCATGCGAGGGCGCACATCTCTGTTCAGCGCTTGGGTTTCTATCTCTAGGCCGCCTGCGAAGACCATGAGAAGAGTTAGCCCCAGTTATAGAATATATACCTTATTGTTTGCTTCACTTTGAGTCACTGGTAAAATGTAAAATGTGTCCTAAGTCTACTACAGATACTTTGTTTCACTTTGCGAGGGTTAAATTCGGACACCCAACCACTAAACCAACTACAAGGCTAGCCAAGTCTAAGGAACCGGATGACTGGGAACCACCAAGTTGCATGATTGAATCCACAGGCGCTCTGCCGTTTTCTCCCGAAGCCCTCTCTCCAAGCAACCACAAGCCCTGAAAACAGAAACCCGAACAACACAGGCGGGGTAACTAGGTACAAATCGCAAAGCGGTTTCCTTCCTCGTAAATGGAACAACCAATTTCGTAACTTCACCCAGCGGGGCCCTTCTATTTCATTGCCCAAACGGACCGATCAAAAGGACAGCCATGAGCAGATACCTTATGGTCAGCTGTCCTCTTGAATCTCTGAGAGATGGTTGGAACCCTACTCTTTTACCTTTGGGACAGCCATGAGAGATGGGCAAAAATCGAATCTCTCCAAAGGTCAGCCGCATCTTGCCACGATGGGCCGCTGGCCGCGCCCCACATCTTCCCCTTCGAGTACCCAGCCCCCAGCGCCCGTCCGATGGCTTAACCAGACCGAGACGCCATCATCGAGTCTTGGCCATGCCCCTTCAAGGCATCCTGGCTCGAAGAAATTCCCGCAACATGGCGGCAAAAAGAACCACCCCGCAAAAAGCGAACCTCTTCTTGCCGTTTAGTGGGAAAGACACGCATGAATCATTTCCCCAAAAAGCTGTCAAGCAGAAAGATCCCATCAAACAACCGCCGAGGCAGTTTTTCGGCCGGCTTGCGCGGGCTTATCTTCACAGAGAAAAAGGCCGGAGTGTGTTTGTTGCAACATCAACAGCTTCAGGTTCATCTTTAAAGAGGAAAGCGGGAGTGTGCTTTGCTTCTTCATAATCTTCATTCAGCCTCTCAGAGTCGCACTTCACCCCGAAAAGCGTGAGTGTACAGGCCAAGAGAACTGGCTTCATGCTTGGTTTGTTCCTGGTTTTCCTTCAAAACCACAAAACAATGGGTATTTTCACAAGGAAATCCCAGGCTTGGTGTCCCTTCTAAAGCCATGTAAATGGCGGTGGTTTCCCTTTAATAAATGGCAAATGGCGGCTTCCCCTGCATTTTGGTGGAACAAGCGACATGTTTCAAATGGTGGCAACAGGTATCTTTCAAGGAGCCGTGAACAACTTTGGGGGTCCTTGCTTTCAAGGGCCTGCCTGATAGTGCCGGAAGCGGCGGCAGATCTCCACCACCTGGCAATATGGTGGCGTTGGATCTGAGGCGTTCGTGGCCCGAAAGAAAAAAACACATGGGGTTGCTTGCTTTGGGGGACCCGTTTTCCGCTTAATGTTCCTTTAAACGACAAAAATGGGGGGAGGGGGTATAGGGGACCCAGAAAATGGTGGTTGTCCGTTTATTGCTCCTTTGAACCACAAAAATGAGGGGGGGGAGATACCCTCAGAACAAGACACGGCCATATATATGGGGTTTGATCAATACTCCTGGCCCCGACATGACCATGGGCAGCTTTTCCCATTTGGCAATACCTACGAGTCATCTCTGTGGGTTTCCCGAATGGTCCCCCCATGTTCATGGGACCAATTAAATCAGCCCCCCACCTATTCCCGGTGCCCTATGGGCCAGGGCTTGAGAACCCCCAAGGTGCTTGGGTATGAGCTTCGGTCGACGTGACTGAGCTGGCCCTTCTTTTCGGCAACCCGCTAGGCGGCCCTGGGACGAAAAGGGAGCTAGGCGCGAGGGGAGGAAGCTCAAAGCGAAGAGCAAGAGCGGAGGAGAGCCAAGAGCGAGAGCTCTTTACCAAGACTGAAGAGATGGGTTGTGCCAAAATGGGCGGACCCCCCCCCCCCCCTGGGACAACAAAAGAAGAAGTGCAACTTTTCTGGTGGCTTCCCTTTGAATCAACGGTGAAAAGGGCACCCTCGCAAAAGCACAGACCAAGAGAGCCTGCAACTGACGGTAAAAGCGGACGTTGGATTCAAAAACCCCTAGCCGGGTGATGTGGAAGGATGCCTTGGAATGGGTGGAGAAGCCATCATGTGAGGCCTAAACTGGCCTAGACTGGAACTGGGAAGCAGAAAGGATCCAAACGTCTCGATGCCATGGAAGTTGCAGCTTGCTTGGTGCTGGCTCTTCCACATCTGTCCATTCTGCCGTGCAATGAGGAGACTGGTAGACACAAGCGGCCACCCTGCCATTTCTTGGCTCCAGGCGGGGAAAAAGGTCGACATGAGCACGACTTGCTCCGACAGGAGCTTTCTTCTTCAAGGCAAGTTGTTTGTTTTGCTGGCTGGCGACATGAGGCCAGCCCTTGGGATTGTTGCGCTCCCTGGAACGAAAAATGCGCGGAGCTAGTTGCGCAGACCTTCTTGCACAGAGCAACAGGTGTTTTGGAGCGATCCTTCAACACAAGTCAGTCAGGAAAAAACAAATGGCTGTGGGTCAAACATGGGTATCTAAAATGGAACCATGGCAAACGAAACCAGGGACTAAAACCTGCGGTCCCCTGTGGATCTATTTTTCACCCACAACCAAATGACCGCTGCCCAGTACAACACGGCCGGCGGTTGAACATTTCAAAGCACATCAAACGTTCAGACCACGCTCAAAGCCGATTCCTGGTATCACCCGAAGAACAACAGCGCCGACACCATTGATCGCGGGTGTATCTTGTCTTGCGCAAGGCTCCCATCCCTTTTGGCAAGAACGAAACCAAGCACTCTGGGGGTTCATTTTCCTTAGACAAACACACTTAAATCCCCTACCTAACCTCCCAATTCCAAACAGCAACATCCCCTTTTTTGCTTCCTGTACAATAGGACCCGTTTAGTGTCAATTGCAATTGAGCGCCCACACCGGGGTTCAGGAAAGTTCAGGTGCACATATCAACCCACTCCCCCTCCAAGCCCCCCCCCCCCCCCAACAATCAAACATGCACACACTAAGTTCGGTCCACAAATCACCACCGCCTCCCCAAAAACAGGAACCATCGCCCACCAACTCACCCACCAACTCACCCACAGATCACCCCACCACCCACCCCACCTGCCCGCCCCGCCCCCCATCCCCGCCTGCTCCCCCAAGATCCGCTCGGAGCCCTGGGGCGTGAGCGGCAGCGCCAGCACCTGGCACAGGGACTTCCAGGCCTGGCGCGCACTGCGAAAGGGCGACGGGCGAAAGGCGAAGGGCGGAGGCATGCTCCAAAAAGAACGAGGCCTACTTGTGGTTTACCGAAAAAGTGGTCCAAGCCCCAAAAAAGGAATCAAGTCCAACTCGAGCAGTGAGAATGCGGGCAGACAAAACAAATGGCAGATTGAATTTTGGACGAACGCGTCCAACGCCGGGTCCCAATGGCATTTGGCACTCCTCTTGTTCTTGCTTTTTCTTCCCCCCCCCTTTTTCTTTGGGTTTCCTCCGGCGATTTGTTTCAAAAACCGCCCCCGAAATCTCCTCCCCGAAGCTCGGCGCGTCCCCGAGCTCCCCTTCGGATCCAAATGTCCGCCGTCCGCCTTCACCAGGGCACAGCCCTCGGAGGGCGAGATCCCCGCGGCCACGAAGCCCTGCTGCTCCAACTCCTGCGATGCGTCGAGTTGGGCCATGGGGTAACTTTCCCCCATGGAAATCGAGGGACCCCACTTGAAGGGGTGCCAAAGGGTACTTGGCAAGTGATTAGTAAGATTGGTGAGATAACCCACTGAACGGAGACTTAAAACCATGGCTTTTGTGGGTTACCAAGAGAATGGGGGACAGACTTCGGAACATTGCTATATAATCACAAATGACAAAACGTAAAATACTGTAAAGCAAGCGCTGCCATGTACACACCAATAAGAGTTGGTGGGTGACACTCCAAGCAGCTGCGCAATTGCTAAGGGGGTGGGATGCAACTTGCTGGTGCTCAGTAGGGAATGACCTTCCGCGTGTTGGGAATGAACCGGAAGGGGGCTCCGCTTAAAGGAAATCAAATCGGGGATGGTTTTTATCTAGGGGCCATTCCATTTCTGATTCCCTGCCTATCGAACCAGCAGGGCAAAGAGGTTCCAACACAAAGGGCTCCCTTCAATTGAGCCAGTCACACAAGGAGTGTCTTCTTTTGATGGTACCCTTTTCGGGTGTGGTTTCCCTTCTTCCCTTCAAACCAAAAGGAACACCACCATATATTTTTTTTGGGGGGGGGTCCCCGAAAAAAGACACAAAAAACACACACACACACACACACCAAAGAGGGCCCAAGGGAGGGAGAAGTCGTGCGCGCCTTGTAAAAGACCGAGTTGGGGAACGCGAAGTCCGCGTCCGCGCAGATGGTGACCATCTCCAGAGGCTTCTCGCACTCCGCGTCCGCCAGCAAAATGCCTCACCACGGGCACACGGGCACGGAGCTCAGGGCACCTGTGGTGTAAGCCGGAAGCCCCCGATGAAAACTTGCAACCTATCCAAAAACCATCTGGGTTGCTGATCATAGGTGTCCTTTTTGGGTTAGCTTGGTTGAAAATAGATGGGTTCCACTGGTTTAGATGGGGTTTATTCCATTTACCAGGGCCATCTATTTTTCCAGAAGGCCACCTAACAAAGGAACACCACGATTTTCTGCGTCCCCTAAAACACAAACCCCCACATCATTGCCCACCTCCCTGATCTCGCCAAACGAGAATCAGGCAATACTACTTGGGGGAACAGATACCAACCCGAGAAACGTCTCGTGGTTTTGCCCAATGTTGAGCATCGTTGTCGAGGTTCGCTCTGTTTGCTGCCGATAGCTAGCAAGATTTTCCAAATCACCGCGTGTCCAAAGGGGTTACCCTCAAATTCAGACAAATTGAGAGGCATCCTCAACACAATGAGCGATTTATGTTTTTTTCTTGTTTCCAGAACGAGCATCCTCAAAAAATCACACCTTCAAACGAGCGGAATCATAGGTTCAGCGGCTAGGGCCACCCCCACCGGCCATCCTTCACGGCGCATCCGTGCGCAAAAACAACCCGCGCATCGCGGCAGTAGCAACTTGTGCTTCTCCATATGGGCGTAAGATGCTGAGCGCCATTTGTTTTCTGCGTGGTTGGTTCCGTTTCAGTTCTAGGTCCTCCAGTAGAGACGTTAGAATCAGGGTACCAAGCTTTTTTCTGTCATCTATTTTAGTAGACGAAAACCCTCCCCCCCAAAAAAACATGGGAAAAAGTTGGCGCCCTCCCAACAAGGGGTGAGAGTCCGGGCACCCTTTCGCTGGAGGACCTAGAGCTAGCCTCAGTACCTGGAAGGCCTTTTCCCGCCTTTCGCCCGGCTCTCCGCCTTATCCACCGAGCCGAGGAGCCAACGTCCAACGTGAGGGGCCAAAAGGAACCAGGAACCCCAAAACTGAGCGTAGCACATGACCCTCGCTCCCTGGCAGCCGAGACTTGCAACTACTGCTTAACTGGGCTGTCCGGGTGGGAATGGAACCCCCCACTAAACCCCAAAAAGCTAAGGAACCGGATGGCTGGGAACCACCCAGTTAGAGGCCCCGACACATAGACCCTCCCTTCGCTTTGCCTCGCGGCACCAAAGCGTTTTTAGCCCGTATCCCACCAACTCCAGAACACGCCTGTAACGATGCTGAGAGTTCATCCCAGTTACTAAGCCATATATATACCTATATATATATATATATATCTACAATATATATATATATATATCTATCTATATATATATATGTACATACAGTTTGTTTGTCCTTATTTGTACATATGTATTAATCTAATGTATGCCTGCGTTTACATTTGTAGTTGTAGTTCTATCTAGGTTTAGTTGGCCTTGTATTCGTAACATGATGTGCGTGTGCCACTAGAAACCCCAAGTAGTTGATTCCATGTTGGTTCCCGTTCGAAGTTGTAGCCCAAGGGTCCCCAGTTTTGCCAGTCAGACGTGTACGTATACGATATAGGTTTATTTTTATGTGTATGTGTGCTATACATGTACTTTACATCTTATACGTGCATGTATATGTATATATATATATATATACACAGTAGCATTCTATAGTTTGCTTCGTGTCAGTCACGGGCAACATCTTGCTTGCGCCCTCCCGCCGTACGCCGAAAGGGCCGAAACACCCCAAAAGAAAAAAAAGAGAAACAAATACCAACCGGAGAAAAAAACAATAAACGCAGGGGGAAGAGAAAAAACCACGCGCGCGGCTCTTCTGCAGCCCAGGGCGCGAGCGAAGCCGGGATCCGTGAGGATGTCCCCGGAGAGCAGAACCGCCAGGTATCGCGCCCATGGTCTTCGCGCCATGAGCTCCTGCGATGGAGGCGAACTGGAGACCCAGAGCCCGGAGGAAGGAGCTTCCTATTGAAAGGGGGGTGGGGTGAAGACACTTGGCGGGGTGGGAGGGGGTGGGGCTGGGGGGTGGGGGTGGGGCTGGGGGGTTGGGGGGTGGGGGGGTGGGGGGAACATCCCCTCCAAAAGGGTGGAAAGCCCTCTAAAAGTGGTCTGATGCTTTACTTATTCAAACCCAGGGACACCCATTAATAAACAGGGGTTGATTAATATGGGCTCAATGTTAGAGCTGACCCACTTAGTATTCATGTTGTTTTTTTGGATGAGGAATCCTTAGCAGCCAGTTTCATGTTGCTTGCTCGTGGACGACACTCCTTTTGGGGAAGCTCTGGATTGGGCTCACAATGCATGCTCAAAATGTTGGTTGCCTCCCGACGTAATGCTAGCGAGTTGGCTGTGGGTCAAAAATAGGTACCCAAAATTGAACCCTGGTAAGTGGTAACATAGACTAAAACCTGCGGCCCCCTGGTGGTTTAATTTTGACCCATACCCAGTTGGGTGTGTGTAAAGAATCCTGAAATCGGTGCTTTGGCTTCTTGGCTTTGTGAAAGCTGAACTGGTGCCCAAGAGTTGGCGATTGGGAACCCCGAGTTGCTATCCGGAGAGTTGGGGAACCAAACCACCAATAGCCACCGATGCAACTGTCACCTGTCCAACCTGATCCCCACCGGTTTAGTGGGTTAAGTGTTAGTGGGTCAAACCAACTAGAAACCTAAACAAAGAAGCAACTGGATGACAGGGAACCGCCATCAAGCGACACACACACACAACCACACCGTATGCTTGCGTCGGACGCCTTTGGCCTCCCACTAAGGCGACCAAGCCGCGCCGCGCTTGGTGACCATCGCGCACTCTACCTGCGGACGCTTCTAATTACGTCGGACCCGTTTTCTGTTTCCTTTTCGGAGTCGCTATGATGCAACAACATGTTTCCAAAATCGGAACCCTGTGACTGTTTCAAGGCTTTAATAGGAAGTTGTTTTTCCCCTCCAAACAAAACACTACTGGGAATCTGAGAGTAAGTCTTGGCAATACTGAACTAAGTATGGGGAATACTAAGTACTAGCAAGTCCAAGTCCCACCCAGACTCCAACTTTCTCACCATAGGCTTCAAAGAAAAATACCCAAAAACACGTCTTTGGATCTGCCAAATGTTGGCGCAATGAACCAGACAACCCCTGCCTCGCCTCAAGAGTCTGGGTCTGCGTGTCAAAAATTCGGGCAGAACAACGGATCTTGGTTTGCTATTGGCTTCCCAAGGCAATCGGGGGAAAAAAAAAAAAAACGGGGACCCTCAAAAGCAAACACACCCACACAACAAGGTCCTCCAGATTTGAGAGGTTAGAATAAGGGTGCCCTTTTTTTCTGTAGTTTATTTTAGTAGGGGTACCCTCATCCTTTGATCACCCTAAAAGTCCAGTTGCCTGGATGTTGGCACAAGCACCCAGACTCCTATCGCCCGCTCCTGAACAGTCCGCAGAAGAAATATGTGGGGGATCCCCAACTAGGAACCCATAATGGGGCTCGAGCGTGAAAAGCAAACACACACACGCACACCTTTACTTTAGTGGAAGGGTCATATGTCACCCCAGCCAGTGTTCGCACTGGCTCTTTTCCAGACACGAATCCAAAGACATCAGTAGAAACCCCAAATATTTGAAGCCAAGATCAGGGCGAGACGTGTGAAAATGCCACTTGAAACTTGGTGCTACATGTTGCAAGCTCGGAGGTTCCTAGGTATCGCAGTGCCGACGTCCAACCCCAGGCGTCCGCTGCGCGAAGACATAGTCGGTCCCGACATGGCCACCATATTTTTTTCGCTTGGGAAGCTTTTGACGAAACAAAAGGAACCAAAAAGGGAAACCCGTCATCTGGTTCAACTCCGCATTCGAGAACCCACTCCACCTTTCCTGCATTCGGGGGTCCTGGTTTTGGTTCCGCTCTTCACTTCTAAGCGGCTAGTGAAACGGAAGGGTCCTTGGCCGCGGTTCCCTCTTTTTCGGCAAGTCTATCCCAACCTTCCTTGCCTTGAAAACCAAGCAAAAGTACACATAATACGGGGGTTGATGAATATATTCCTGGCCCATGACCTTGCCAAGGGCAACTCGTATCCCATTGAGTGCGAAACATCATCCTTTGGTGGACTTCCGGGGTTCCCCTTTTGGGGCCGGGTCAAACCCCCGCCTGGATGTGCTGCTGCACTAAGACCTGGAAAACCTCACAAGCCGCCAGCGCCTGCGAATCTCGCACCCGGCACCCGTGTTTTTGCTGGTTCTCGGTTTCTGAACATAGGAACCTGTCCATTGCCGAAAACGGCCAAAGCTTCTCTTCTTTTTGTTCTCCTCAAATAACAACACGTGGTCTACCATTTTGAGAAAACGTTCAGTATCCTTCCAAGAGCCTTCCAACACGCCTTTGGAGTTTGAGGACTTCCTTCATATCCGCTGTTTCTTTTCAGGGGACCCCCAGGATGGTGGCTCTCCTTTGGTGTCCCCAAGAACGGAAAAGCCCCCAAAAAGCCGAGAAAAAAGACGAGCCGCGGCTCGGGGGGCGATGCGAAAACCGGAGGGTTCTCACGCTGCTTCGAAGGGATCGGATCCCCGAAACGGAGTCACGCATCACATGGGTTGATCCACAAAGGCTTCCACGAGTCAGGGCTCACTGCCCCAAATCAAAAAACGTTGATCCATAAAAATGGTGGTTTCCATGAGTCAGGGCTCACTGGATTGCCCCAAATCCAAAGTTGATTTTTACAACAATGGTGGTTTCCATTGAGGATCGCCGCGTTTGGAGGCTTCCCTTTGAAGAAATGGCTCTGAAGCCCTGCTAGTTGTGCTGGATACGAAAGGATAACCCACCAACAGGATTTTATCTGCGATGCGAGTGATACACTTGGATGAACTTCCTCCGGGAAAAACGTGTTTTGGTGGTAGTTTTTTCGGGGACCCCCCCCAAAAAATGGCAGTTGTCCTCTGGGTTTCCCCTTTGAAAACCAACCAAACTGGCGCACCCCAAAAAAAACAGAGTAAGACCCCTATGTCTTTCCCCAACCTGGAAATAAGCACACGGAATTCCCCAGGCCACGGACCTTCATGGGTGGCAAGCTGCTAGGGGCTGAGGGGGATTGCCCCAACTCCCGCGAGAGCGGAACTTCGAGCTGCAAAACTGGGCTGTCCGTGTTCAGATCCCCCGCTGAAAGTGGCTAACCGCCAGTGGGTTAAATGGAAATCCAACCACTAAACTCACCAAAAGGCTAAGAAGCTAAGGAACCGGATGGCTGGGAACCACCAAGAAAAGTGTGGGAAACAGCATGGGTTCTTCAGAAGAACGGCCTTCCCAAAGACCTGAAGCTTGATTTGTTCAGAAGCAGTTACCTGAAAAGTAGCAAGGAGCTCAAAGCCCGATTCAAGCACACACCGTGAAACGCGGCCAAGGGGCGTTTCTGCCGATGGTCCATTTGGGGCCCGGGACGAGCTCTGAACTAGAACAGACAAACCCCCCGATTTTGTCCTTTTGCTTGTTTTTCTCTGTATTAGAAAGGCGCAAACCCCCCCGATTCTTTTTATTTTGCTTGTTTGTTTTGTCTTTATTATGTGGCTGTGGCTCAAAAAACCGGTACCAACATGGAACTCTGGTAAGTGGGAACATGAACCAAAACCTGCGGTTTGCCCCTCCTGGTCAATTTTGATCCACACCCATGTGTTCCACCTGATTCACATAGGTTCAAGCGATCCGCTTCGGCCCCGAAGAAAGGAGCCTCTTTTGACGACCCCGACTACCTCCCCCAGCTTTTCGGGGGGGCCTTTTAGAGGCTACCCGCGTTTTTGTGCGGTTTTAAAGTGAAACCAAACGGAAATCGATGTGTTTTTCTTTTTTGAATAAAGCTATCCCCTAAAAAAGCACTTTCCATATATCAAGGGCTTCCCGTTGCCCGGCAAATCTTGGAACCCATGGTGTCAGTTTTTGGGGGGGGGGGGGGGCCTTTTAGAGGCTACCCGCGTTTTTGTGCGGTTTTAAAGTGAAACCAAACGGAAATCGATGTGTTTTTCTTTTTTGAATAAAGCTATCCCCTAAAAAAGCACTTTCCATATATCAAGGGCTTCCCGTTGCCCGGCAAATCTTGGAACCCATGGTGTCAGTTTTTGGGGGGGGGACCCCCCAAATGGATTTTGGTTTTCTTTTTGGCTTCCCTTTAAACCGCGAGGGGTGCCCACAAAAAAACACCCCCCCCCCCCCCCCAATTTCTTGCATTTGCTTACGTCCGCTGGAAAACATCAAAAACTATGTCCAGTGTCAGATTACCTTCAAAACCAACAACCAAATACTGCTTTCAGCAAATGGAAGGCTTGGGTTTAAGGGTGTCCCTTTGTTGTTCTTTTCAAAGGAACACACAAAAGGAAACCGATCCAAACGGAAAAACGAAGGGGTCTCATAAACCCATTTGGGCCTTTCCCCATGTCTGGAAACCGCAGCATCCGCCTCCGCATCCATCACGGAGCCGGTCACCAGAATCCTCGCCCGCTGCTTCTTCATCTCCATCTCGCCGCTGCCCGTGAGCATGTTTCGAGTCACCTGGAAACAGGGACATGGAAGACGACTCTAGGGGTACCTTCCATGTCCATTCTTAACCCACGGATCCTTCTAGAGAACCCCCGGAAATTCAGGGAGAACGGATCCGGCTTTTGGAAAGAACGATGGTTGAAAAGAATGGAAGAGGTGAATCAACCCCTAGATCTCTGCAACGCCCCAGGCCGGCAGGGTCTCACCTCTTTTCTACAAAGCGGAGGGGCCCTCACAAGTTGCAGGAGTGCTTGCACAAGCCTCCCAGCTTCCATGCTTTTGGGAGAACCGGGTAGAGATGCCGAAGCAACTTGGGTTGCAACTAGGGGGCCCAACCCCAGGTGCTGGAAAACATCCCTTGGTACCCTTTTGGCTTGCCTCAAAGGAAAACCAACAAGAAACCACCCATGTTTGGGGCTCCCCACGGAGAAAACACAAAGGCGGAGCTCCTATGTTCGGGTGACATTCTTGCGCACCCGGCACTTGTCGAGGAATTGGGGCCCCAAACCCCCAATGAATTGGACAATGAAGAACCTGGGCTGTCCTCAGATCCCCCGCTAAAAGTTTTCAACTTCTGGTGGGTTGAATGGAAACTGCCACTGAATCCTAAGCCGAAAGTCTAAGGAACCGGATGGCTGGGAGCCGACAAGGTACATCAGGTGGTTTGTCTGACCATTTCGATCTTTTGAAAGTCCTCTCCTGATAGCAGATTGCAGCCGTCGCCTGAAAATTGGCAGCACCCCCGAGAAACGTTCATCTGAGGTGGGCGTGTCTGCTTTTTGCGGGGCCCCCCCTAAAATGGTGGTCTTCCTGCTGGTTTCCCCTTAAAGTCACCAAAAGGGGGTACCCACCCCGCCAAATGGTCGCTTCCCATTTGGTTTCCCGCTGAACCAACCCACAAAAAAGTGCCCCGAACAAATCAAACACACCCTTGTTGGCTCGATGACGCCGAACTTCAACGTCCCCTTATGCCTGGCTCACTCGGAGCAGCTCAATCACCTTCTCCCGTCGCTCCTGAGGCGAAAAAGAATCGCATTCCGTGTTTTCTTTGGTTTGGTGCTTACCCTCCCACCAGTTAACATGGAACCTCACAGGGGATCCCTTTAGAAGGAACATGTGTTTTCTTTGGTTTGGTATCCCTCACTTGAGAGGACGCAGTATTGCTTTTCTTCAGAATTCGGAGATTCATCTTTATTTCTTGGTGTTGGCTAGTTGGGCAGCAAGGCAGCTGCTTGTGGGGGGTCAAATAGCAGAAACCACCCAACTTCTCCAACCAATATGAACTTTGCATGTCCACCACCCACGGAAAGTGGTTCCCTAATTCACCGTGGAGTCCAATCATTGGGGCTGGCCCCGAGTTTGTGTGGAACTAGTGCTCCAAGATTTGGGCCCGGCTTTGGCATCCGAAAGGCCAACGGAGGCCTATGATGTACGTGGGTTGATCAAAAGGTCCGTGGTACATGGGATGACCATGGGTTGGAAAACCGCGAAAGAAGAAGAAGAAGAAGAAGAAGAAGAAGAAGAAGAAGAAGAAGAAGAAGAAGAAGAAGAAGAAGAAGAAGAAGAAGAAGAAGAAGAAGAAGAAGAAGATATTTCACCCCCTCAACGGAAAAAGCTACCCATGGTCATTTGGGGGCCGAACGGAATATTGATCAACCCCCACATGCCGAGAGGTGGTACTCGGGCGATCTGATTTGCACTAGCGGAAGGGGTCGATCGTGGGGTTCCAAATCGGAGGTCAGATCATTTCTCGTAAAGCGCTTTGGCCAAGTTTCAGGTCCGCCGGCGGCGCGGGTCAACCAAAAGGGACTAGCTGGAGCACTCCCCAACTGGACCATAGCAAAGCTGATTGTTCTAGATTCTGCGAGAACATGGTCTGCTACAATTGAATACAAAGCTAGCCCCGTTCTTCTACTATCAAACCCCCGGTGATAGGTTATTCAGGGAACCCATCGCAGTTTCTGCCTTTTACCCACAACAGTCAAAATAATCGCCCCAGTGTATCTGATCACGGCAAAAGACCAACCCAATTGGCGGGTCAATGGTTTACCACCACAGGCTTTCTTGGTTTTAGTTCTTTCCATCAGGGCAACCCTTTTGGGGGCTACTCGATTTTGATGTTACGCGCATCGGACCCTTTTTGCTTCCAACCTGAAGATTTGGATTGGGGGATTACACAAACGGACCTATGCGAGGATGTTTTTTTCCTGTACGGGAAACCATGTCTAAAGATATTCTTCCCCAGAAATGCTGTGGATGGACGAGTACTCCTGCACCATGGAATGATCATTCCCCCAATACCGACAACGTTGTTCCAACCATGGATTCATTTCGTGGTGCGTTTTGTGGATTTCGCAGCCATCCACAGTCCCACATCCCTTCCCCGGTCGTCCCACATCGCTTCTTTCCTTCCATTTGCTTAGGCGACCTGGCAACAATGAGAACATCTTTCCAGCAGTGATAAAAAACAAAAACCTTTAAACCCAACAGGGTTTTAAAAAATACAAGCATCAATGGAGTTCGGTTCCATAGATGAAAGTCCCAACTTCCATTTTCATTTAAGCCCAGTGGAAAATTCAGCACCCAGTGCAAGCTTATAAATTTTAAGCAAAGTTGAAGCACCCAGTCCCAATTCCATGTAACTAAGCCTAGTCGAAAATTCCATTGGAGCCCAGTGGATTCCTTTCAGCGAAACTTGGTTGACGTTGGAAGGGGAGAAAAAACATATTTAGCAGTTAAGTGAAGAAATCCCACTAAACCACAATAAGCAAAAATGTAAAATGTTTCCCAACAACAACCATGGAAATGGGAAAGCTTCGACCTTGGGCTGCAACAGCTCGGCGTTTCCCATCTCGCGCTCTCGCGCGATCGCGCGCTCGAGAGCTCCTGCGGCCGCCCGAAGCGGCGCATCTGCACCGAGGGCAGGTCCCGGAGCGTGCGGTAGGCCTCGCCGAGAGAGGGGTGCAAACGGGGCGGCCGCTTTTCTTTTTTTTTGCTTTCTGAAAAGGAAACAGGGGAGAACCCAAGAGCAAAAAACAGCTGCAAAGAAACAAAGGTTTTGGGAAATGCCCCAAGGAAAAAACAATGAGACGTGTTCCGTTGTCAGTCTAGAAAAATCGATCATCGACTCGTTTCCATGTTTAAAGCGTGTCTTTTGAGTCATCCTCGAGAAACCTGTTTTGCCTGGCCATCTTCAGGGTCCCCGAAACTGAGACTCGCCGCGCCCGACTTGACCTGCAAGGGGTTAGAAGTATTTCTGGGTGGCTCGTTTTTTTTGCTTTGAGTTGCTTCCCTTTTGTTTGATGTTTACTTTTGTTTGATGTTTACTTTTGTTTTGTTTTGTTTTTTTCTCCGGGAAACCAAAAGAGGGCCCCCCCCCATTTTGGAGTTTCCCGTGAAAAAACGACACACCCAGAAAAGACAATGGTCCTTTTCACAAGTGCACGCCCATGTTGCAACCAAAATAGGTGTTGCCCTTTGCAGGACCTAAAGGGCGTGCCGAAAACCCGGCGCTCGCGAGGCATGCGGCATCTCTCTGTTTCCGACACCCTGACGCGATTTTACTCCCCCCCCCCTCAGTGCTTCCAGTCACTCTCACCATGGGCAAACCGCACCTGAACAATGAGATGTTTTAGCTCCATGAATATTTTTTCGCGGGGCCCCTGGACCTAGCTCAATGGCTACCTGAGGCGTCTCACAGATTCGCTCGAAGGGGGATGGCTCGGGCAAACGCACCACCAAACGCGGGCGCCTCCTGGATATCCTCCATGGAGATACCGTAGGACCTCAAAGACGGCGCTCGATCCCGGGTGCTTGTCCGTTGCCTACCAAAGAGATGTTCGGTGGCGCAAGTTCCTTCTAGAGTTCCTCGAAGGCTTCTGATGTCCCACTGCCGTTGGAATTCTACTTCGGGACTTTTAGTGGACCCCCCCAAAAAAGGCTTCACATTGTCCTCTTGATTTCCCCTTTAAAAACACCCTTTGGTGGACCCCCCAAAAAAGCGGATGGCTTCAAATTGCCCTTTCCCTTTAAAAGAACCCCACACAAAAAGAGAAGAAGAACAAAAAAAGGAAAAAACACATTCCCAAGGCTCCAAACGGGGGGGGGGGGGGGCAAGGCTCCAAACGGGGGGAGCGGGCCCGGCCCATAGCCCAGCGGCGACAGCGTCTGCCGTTCCGCTTGCCGCCAGGAGCTCGGGATGTCGCGGATCAGCTCCTCGCGGGACCCGCGGGACCCGTGGGACGCGTGGGGCGCGCGGTGGGGCCCGCGTTGCTCGGGGTCTTTTTGCCGCCTTTGGTACGGAAAGATGATCGAGCCTTCCTTGTAGTGAAGGATTCCTTCTTGAAAAGGTCCAACTGCTTTTTGGGGGGAAGGGTTTTCCCCTTGAAACTCAACCAATCCAAAAAAAAGAGACGCCGCCTCTGGGCACTTTTTTCGCATTTGTTTCTCACAAAAGGTGGCAAAACCACCCCCTTGGAGTGGGGTGGGTGCCTTTACAAGTTATCCCTTGAAAGGGGGGGGGAGCCAGGGATCTCCCGATTTGCGTTTTGGATTCCTTTTTCCGGATTTTCTTTTTTCTATCGACCCATGTGGTGGACACAAGTACAACACCCAAGGTGGAGACAACTGCAACACCAGAGCGATGCATCTCACTTCCTGAGTTGATGGGCCAAAAGGAGAGCCAAGCTGTTTGGTCCGACCTCTCTGGTCTGAACGCCAAAGAACGAAAGACGAACAGCTCGGGGAGCGGCACCCACAATTCAGGCTGGTGTCAAGGGACACCCCGAGGGAAAACCAGAAGTTCGGAGCCCCTTGCACCTCAAGTCTCAGTCGCCGGCCGCGACTGGCAAAAGAAAGGAACACGGGCAGTTTGCCGGCTGGGTTCCCTAGAAAAAAAACACCCAGCAGCGGGGAGTTCTCCCCCAAAAGAAGACATAGACATCTATTTTGGGGCCAAGCCGCTGTTGAGCGGAAAGGGATTCAAAGTTTGAATCCACTGAAGAACTGGAAACAAACTTTCGGAAGTGGAGTTCTCGCACCAAGCAGGCGCTCTGCTTTGGACGCTGACCTGGAATGCTCCTTCCAACGGGTTCGACTTGGTTCCTTTGGCGCTGCGTGCATTGGGTACGAGTCAACTCTTGAAATCTGACAGCGTGGCGCCCAGGCCAACACCCATGGAGTACTCTGAGAGTCCCAAGGATGTGCCCCCGAGTTGCAAAATCTATTGGACACTTTCCGACTTTCCGGAAACGCTCAGAGAGAGAGAGAGAGAGAGAGAGAGAAAACAGACTACAGGATTTCACGGAAATTCTTCCATTTGCTATTTCGCCTGGGAAAAATGGGGACATATTCCCAGTGATAGATTCCCTCTAAACCCAACAAGTGAAAAATGACACTCCCCAAGCCCCACATTGGCGCTACGCGAAACTCACGCAAGAGGCACATCCTTTTCCGTGATTCGATTGCCAATTTGGGAGAAGGGGGATTCGCCCATTTTCAGAAAAATGGCATCGAAGAAAATAACCAAAACAGGCTTCAGAAGGCCAAGGAAAACACATAAGACCAAACGCATTTCAGGGACAGGGCGGCAGCCCTTGAAGTAATGCCTTTTCACAAATGGTCAGCTTCCCTTTAGGAGCCGAATCGGTGGTTTGCAGGTTTTAAGGAGGGGTAAACCCCGTTTCCTCTCTAAGCCGGAGCTTCAAATCCAATCAATCCCAACCACCTGATGGGTTACCTGAGAACTGTTATCCCTGACTTATCAAACAAAATCAAAGGCATGTACAGACACACTGACTTCTGTATTTTTGGGTTCTCCTTCCTTCCACCTCCACCCCCTTTCCATTTCCTTCCATTTCCTTCCATTTCCATATTGCCTGTCCGTTAGTCGCTTTTATATTTTTTGTTGTTGGTTGTTCTTCTTAGTTGTTGATTGAGCGCCATCTTCCCCCCCCCCCCCCCCAATAAAAGATCGCTGCGTCGAACCGACGCTGCGTGTGCCCGGCCCGGCCATCGCGGCCTGTGACGACTCCGAACGCATCCAACGCAGATCGAAGCGAATCTCCTCTGAGAGCTGCTGGGAGTCCTCGCACTTCAGCATCACCGTGCGGACCTTGTTCCTGGCAAGCCGCAGCCCACAAAAAAAAAGGAGACACCACCGACCGGTGCTTTTTGTTGGGCGGAGAGACCTGGAAAGGTTTGCGAAAAGGCGATCCGTGTTTTTTCCCCAACAGCTGAAAGCTTTGGGGTCTATAGGCTCCGGGGTGGTCCCGCGCGGCCCTGAGGTTTGGTTCGACGAGGGTTCCACCAGGGTTCTACCAGGGGCTTCTGCCGGGCCGCTTGTTCGCAGTGGCGATCTCTCCGGCGCACCACATCCTTCGCAGCACGTCCCCGGAGAGGACCACCACCAGAGTCCTCGAGGACTCGACATGGACTCAGATTCCCCACCCCAAAATGGCCGCCAAAACCCGCAAAAAACTCGCCCCAAAATGGCTGGAGATGCCAGATGCTGTTGAAATGGCCTCCTGTCACACTTCCATCGGAAAGAGGGCTCCAAAGTGATCTACCCCAAACCTAAGGAATTGAAAGCGCGGACGCGCACTGTCCCTTTATCGATCCGGATTTTGAGATCACATCGGGTGGGCTTCTTGGGTTGGCGGTCCCAGGGGTCTTCGTTCGTGCAAACCCAGGGGCCTTTGTCACAGGCAACAAATGGCTCCTGGATGAGGGACACCAAAGGAAGTCAAGCCGAACTTTGAACTACATCCGGATTTTGATTAACTTTCGGCGATAAAAGAAGAAAACACGCATACGGAAGGCAGCCAGTTTCGGCCCACGGCAAATGGTATCGCGTCAAACCTAGTCCAAAAAGGCGACACCGCGATTCGCTTTGGACATCACCCTAAGCCAACCACTTTCCTCGCTACTGGATCAGGGAGACGTGAACTCATGCAAAAAGGCTCCTGATCTGAGCTCCTCATTCTGGTACGAGACTTAACATGTCAAGTGTTTTACAACCCGAAACATCCAGTAAACCACGCCGCATGTTCTATTTTTTGCACCATGTATGGCTCAAGGAACGGGTCCAGTGCTGGAGCTTTTTGGGATCAGAAGGTCCTCCCAATTGCTCTATTAAACAAAAAGAAGCAATGTTGACCCCAGATACACAAACCGGTTCCACTTCCCAGGGGAGGAGTCCTCGATCAAAATCAGGCAGGGGAGTACTCCGAAACTCAAGCTCCTGGTGGAACGGACGGTTTCTTCCCGTCTTCTTTTTTGGCGAGTCTCGGCGCTTCAGGCTCGGGCGGGCCCCATTTCACACGGCCACGTGGCGTTTTTTTTTTTTTTGGCGAATTGGATTCGCTGCAAATAGCGACTGGAGACACTCTGAGGATGTGATTTGGGAATCTGTCTCCAACGACCACTTGGGAAGCTGTTCCTCACTGAGATTCATCGGGATAGGTGCCCTTTTGGGGCCAATAGATGGCCCTAGTAGATGATTACACCACCAGGTAAACCAGGGCCATCTATTTTTCGACCAAAGACAGCCGAAAAGGACACCTATGTTCATGGGGTGTCCCAACCCCGTTTTTTTCAACGCAACTCCGCGCCCGCCTCGTCTGGCAGCGGACGATATCGAAGAGCAAATCCAAGTCCTCGAGGTGGTCCGAGTCCAGAAAAACCGTCGCGGCACTGTTCCTCAGATTCGTTCCGAGAAAGGACACGTGAGCAAAACAAACAAAACCTGGCGGCGTGAAGGATTTTTTTCCCCCGGGGCCCGAAATGGAGGACATCACATGTCCGCTAATTTTGACCCCAATGGCCCAATTGGGCAGTGCCTTTCACACTGAAGAGAAAACCGAGCGACACAAACGAAAGTGCCCCTCATCTGCATACATGCGCTCCACTGCTTGCTGCGCCGCAAATCCAGTCGACAAATCACAGGCCTCTACACCAATGCGGAGGTCTCAGCAAAAAGACACTGTGCCCAAAAATTGGGAGGGGGATTCCCAGAAATGAGCAACTGTCCGTTTCTTCTCCGCCTTTGCACCCATCCGAATCGGGCACCCTCAAAACACAAAAACAGACTCACAAACACACACGCACACACACACAAAAGAAACAAAACACATCAAAACGCAACCAGACGAACGAACGAACAAACAAACAAACAAAAACGTGCCACGGGCAGGGGAGAAGGGGGGGAGGCTTCTGCGCTGGGGCACTGCGCCGCCAGCACCTTGATGAGCCGGCAGAAGCTCCCGGCGCCTTCCGGGGAGCGGGAAAACGGGGGGGGGGGGGACCTCAACTTGCTGGTGCTCAGGCAGGGAATGAGGGCATGAACCACCAGTTGGGTGAAATCTGTTGGAGGGTACCGCAGTGTCCTGCCCCCTTTTTGGAGGTCATTCCCTCATTCCCCGAGCACCAGCAAGTCAAAATACGACTAGCAAGAGGGGAGTACCCTAAAGAAGAAGTGGGTTGTTCTACCCGCGTTAGTCCATGTAAGTGTTTGAACCACCCAAAAGTGTAAAAGTCTCTGGATGAACACAACACGCCCAGTCTTCGCAAACTTTTCACAATCAAATCAGGCGACGACCTTGAGCGCTTCTGGCCTTCTGGATTGCGAAGCTGACTTTTCCTGGCCTGAGTGGTATCCAGCAGCTTTCGCCCCTTTTGGCTGCGCTTCCTCTGGAGAGGGCGGACTCCGATCGCTCTCGTCGGCTCCGAGGCTTCGAGGCTCGGAGATCGCGCAAAGTTCGCAATGGGCAGATGGCTAGCGGGAGCTCGTTCGAAACGCTCAGGAGATTCTTGCAAAGCAGCGAGGCGTGTTGCTGACAAGTGTGACGGTGTTGCTTCCAGGACTACGGTATGCAACCGCTGCATTTCTATCAAGCGATCTCAAACGTTGAGACAACTGCAACTTCAGAAACCAATCGTTCTCTGGATTCGCATGGCCGGGCCATGCGCTGGTTCAGGGCGCAACATGGACAGCATGCGCGCAGAGAAGCTCATGCGACTACTGCATTCGCAAGATCAGCAGGGTTGAGTGGCGGTTGCAGAAGTAAACGCGCGCAGTAAAGTTTAGTGTTTGACAGCTTCGCAATCAGTGGAGAACCAGTCTTGGCTGTCTAAGCATCGTTGGTGTCCCGGCATTCACTAGGAGAGGCCGGAAGTAATCTCAGTGCCACAGCGCGCGCTTCCGGGCGAAGATGATGTTGGAAGTTTGCGGCAAGTGGTTGGTGCTTGAGCCAGTTTTGGCGAACCTCAAGGACAGCTCCAACAAGCTCCTTGCGCGCAAGCCTACGCAAAAGGCTTCTGAGGAGATTGACCGTGCCGCGACTGGCGCAGATGACAAGGGAGCGATGCTGATCTGCAAGCTGCCTCTTTTTCTTCTTTGCCCCAGCAGACAGTTCTGCAGCGGTCTCCACTCTGTCTTACAGCTGCGCAGCCCAACCGCTAGATGTTTGCTGGCCTGCAGAGACGCCGGAACTTGTCTGCAATGACAGGATGCTGGCGATTTACCGGAGCTGGCTTTCCCAGCAGGTATGACGTAATACTTCACAAGTTGGACGTGTTCTGCCTTTGGTATGCTCTTCACTGCAGGGGCCAACACCTCTCTCAGTGATTGAACGAGACAATGTTCTGACACGCAGAGAGGCTTCGCAGAACGCTGAAAGCAATGCTCAGCGAGCTTATGCGCTGGGTCAAACAGCGAAGCGTGCAATCAACACTTTGAAGCCGAAATGGGTGCTGAAGTGAAAGCAAATGAAGTCTGAGAACCGTATCCAAGCAAGACTTGCGGCGCAAGGTCTTTGATTGGCAACGCGCTGAAGGCTTTGCAGCTACAACTTCAGGATGGGGAAAGAGAGTTATCATCGTGGTTCAGTGCAATTTGGCTCGACAGTTCTTTCTGCCGACGTTAGTGAGACACTCTTGCGTGGTCTGACGTTTGAGGCGCTGCACGCAGGGGGAGCAGGTGAGCATCGCAGGGTGACATTTCATCCGCCAAGCTTCCCTGAACGCTGGACGGTTACTAGCGCTTTGACGAAACGAGGTGATTCGGTTTGGATGCTCCTTGGTTGGCTTCTTGCCCTTCAAAGAGCTCAGGTCCATCGGTGTAAATCCAACCCGCCCAATATGGGTGCTCAGATTTTCTGCAAACACGTGGCCGGTCGTCTGGCGCTGATTCTTTCGGTACACATAGTCGATTTGAAGCTGTGTGGAGAGGAGCCGGAACCTCGCAAGGCAGTGGCATCCTTCGAAGATGCAAAAAGTTCACTGACTCTGCATGTTCTGCTTCCACTGGAAAATTTCGCCTAGAAACGTCAGACCCGTCAGCATGTCCATCTTGCGCCTTCGCTGAACAGCTGTGAGTTCCCTCAAGTTCCTTGGCCAAGCCCTGCGCTTAGCCAAAGAAGCTGGATGTAAGCGGCTGCTGCCCAAAAGGTCCGCAATCCAGCTGCATAAGCTATACACGTGGCTACGATCGGCACCTTGGGCGGAGCGGCTGAGGACTGGAGTGGACTGGACAGCCTTTGCTTCATGCACAGCGACGTGAAACCTGAGGCGGACCGGTGTCCGTGATCTCATGAACAAGATCATCTGCGTATGTGCTGGGGCCGACAGCGGAAAATGAGGAATCCCCAACAGTGGCGAATCCCCACTAAACCAAAGGGACCCTGGGGTTTATGAATCCGGGGTCAACATTACGCCTCACTGCAATCTCTAGTAAACCAAGTAATGAAATGGCCCTTTTGCGGGTTTTGAGCGCTGCTCATTTGTGTTTCCCTAGCAAGAGCTCTCCCCTCATGCGACATTTCAAGAAACCCTCTCCGAGAATCTGGACTTGGGCTAGTGGACCTTTCAATAGTTGACACCATAAAAGTAGATGGCCAAAATGTTTCCCGGCTGGGAAAGCGAAGACTTGCCGGAGAAAGTGAAGGAGATAAAACCAACATGTGCAGGTGGTACACTCCCTACATGGTCCCGCCAGAACGCCTCTGAACCAAGTCTTCCAAAAAATCCCCGAAGCTCCCGGAGCTTCCTCTGGAATCCTCTGGCGGATACCATCGAATGCTCACCCAACGCATCTCAAGCTCACCCCGCCCGTAGAGCTGCAGGCTCTGAAAAGAAGAAAAGGCAACTGCGTGTTGGCTGCCAAGTACCCTCCCTCCCACCATAGCAACTGGAGGGCACCTGGAAGATCTCGTTTTCCTCTTCAAGGGACCCCCCGGTCAGGTGCCATGGTAGTGGGAGGGAGGGTAATCATTCACAAGTGGCTGGATGTCTTTTGGGTAAATGCAGGGAACCCTGGAACTGATGGAGTTCCCTTTAGCTCCTTCAAACATCGGTCGATGTTGTTCGAAACATATGAAAGGGAGTGTGTGGCTCTCACCCATTGAATTAGGTTGCTGCTTAAGACAAGGGGCTGGACTAGGCTTCAGCTAGGATTCAAATGTAGCTGGTCGAAGATTGAACGATACACTTCGGCACTGGCTCAAAGCCAAGTGATTGTATCTATGCCAGTTCGAGCCAAAACAATAACACAAACTCACAGCTTCAAAGATTGGAAGTGTGTCTTCTTTTGAGGGGACCCCAAAACGGTGGGTTTCCGTTCGGCTTCCTTCTCCACAAAGAAACGGGGTCCCGAGACCAGCCACCCACATCAAGAACCCCGCGTGGCTTTCTGAATGCTGTGGGAGTGCCCCTGTTTCTGATTTATGTGAGCTGTGTGATCTTTCCTTTCCATGCCATTCCCAAAAGGCCCACAATGAGCTGAGCTGGCACACGCGTCTTGAGAATGAGAAAAGAACGCATGCATGGGCACCCAGGGAATCCTTGCCTCCAGATTTGCTCCGCCCTCCACAAAAAACAAAAAACGCGGGGGGGGGGGGGGCCTCGCTTGTGGTGGCACAGGAACAGGCCGTAGGCGGCCCGGTTGTACCAGCGTTTCAGCAACACGATGAGGGACGAGCCCACTCCTCGCGCTCGGCGAGCTAACGCGCCATGGACAAGTCTCGTTTGCCTTCTGCTCCCTTGCTAAAAGTATAACCTTTAGTGGTTTGATACGGAAAACCCACTAGTTGGCAAAAAGTTATTCAGTCCTGAGTCCTAACATCCAAGCAAAATGCACCAAAGAAATGATCCCTTTGGGTCCGCACCTGCATTCGCCCCGGCTGGTGGGTCACTTGGGCAAAGAGAAAGGAAAGCCAACTCAAGTCATCCTTCACCTCTTTCTGCTGGTGTGCACCCTTTCGTCCTCCTTTATCCAAAAAAAACATCCAAAAAGCCTCCACCAGCTTTAAAATCGCCATCCGAACAAACCACTGGTAGATCGCACTGTTCCAAACACGAGTTCCGATTCAACCTGACCTGCAACTTTTGGATTCGTAAGGTACACCCACCAGAGTCAAATTCCGGATAGGGAACATCCATCTTCCACGAATGGGGCTTCCATTCATCCACGTGTCATCTTGCTTCAGACGCCAAACCCCAGCTTGTATCCCGGTCAAGGAAACCATTTCCCAATCTGCAGTTGATCATCTGCAACTTCCCCCTGAGGAAAACGCACCAAAGGGTTGCCTCTAAATGGGGAATCCCTCAAAATAGGGTGATTTCCCATTGATGTCGCTTTGGTTTCCCTCTAGCCCCAAAATGAGAACCCTCCAACAGTATGGCCCGCAGTCACAAGCAAAGCCCGGTATTGAGATGGTCGATCCCCAAAACCATGTAAAGACCTTGTTTGTGGTTGGGACAACCTTTTGTCAATTTTCACTTTCCCGGATTTTCATTGTAACTCACTTGAGTTGGTTTCAAAATATGGCAAGGTGTCTGTATTGAGGTTCTCCTTTTTGCTGGTTTCAACAGAAACCAAAAGGACAACCACGTATTTGTTCGCGCTCCCTCAAAAAATATGCAAACGCACTGGTCCTGGAGGAAAACCCACACCTCCTTCTTTGGAGGGGAGGATTGGTTTTGCCTGAACGACGAGCGCCCCGTCTTGGAGGGCCCTTTGCCGGCCCCTTCCCTTGGATCCATCCTGCGCTGAGACAGAGCATCACCGCGCTGGTCATCAGCCAGCCCATGACCTTGCGCGAGAAATCTTGATACGGGCCGAAGGGAACCTGGGCGCTCCGAAAGAATCGGATCTGGAAAAGGGACGAGCCTCGCTTCTCGCGGGCGGCTTCCGAAGAGGGCTTCCCCAAAAAAGGCGAAGAGGCCCCATGCAGGGAGCCGGGCTTCACGGTCTGGTGTTTTTGTGGTTTGGTCCAGTGGTTTCCTCAGCTGGTAAAGGTTTGAGTCCTTGACTGAAAAAAGGAATGGCGCGCCATCGTGAATTGGGTGGGTCATGACTTGGGTATGGGTCACAATGAATTCACCAGGAATTGGACCGCAGGTTTTAGTCCTTGATTCCCTTTACCAGGGCCCATTTTGTTTGACCCACACCCACTTCTCAAAGGGTCACGGAGAAAAAATCCCGTTCCTTCCAAAAAAAAGGCACCACCGAGCTCCGCCCTTGGCATGCGTTTTAGGTTTGGAGAATAAATGGAGATCTCCGGGGGTCAGGTCCCTCCCCCAAAAGGGCAGCCCTCCGAAAAGGGGCGCGCGTGTTCAAGGGCACCCAATCCTCCCCTCCGAAAAAGAAGGGGGTGGTAGTTGTCCTCCAAGCGGACCAGTGGGTTTGCATGCTTTTTGAGGGAACCCATGGAACCCCCAACAAATAGGGTGGAAACCGCATTTCCGCTGGCCGACTCGAAGAACGCATCCACTGCCCGCGTGGCGTTTATGCACCTCACCGGTTCAAAACAAACGTGGGGAGCGCAGTCAAACTGATTTGTTGCGGGAACCCCGGGAAAATGTTGGGGTCACACAGCTACCCTCCCTCCCGCTAGCATGGCACCTGACAGGGGTCCCGATAACAGAAGACTGGATATTTAGGTACTGTCCCACAAGTGCTGTGTTAGTGGCGTCAGGTGTGATTGGCGCCACAGGGAGGACAGCGCATCAGTGGCAAAACGGCAAAACAAAACTGGGAAATCCCGAGCAGCTCACGATAGCCATACCTTTCTGGTGGCTTCTCAAAGACGCCCGTTCAAATTGTGGGGGTTTCAGGGTGGGTTTGCATATCGTTCCCAAGTCCCACATCCCGGCTGTTTGTTTTTCTCCTCACCTTCCGTCGGAGGAATTTACGCATGCAGCGCCCGAGGCTTCACTGTGAACTGCTCCACACGAATCTCCCCTCACCCAAACTTGGGAGGCCCGTTCAATGACTTCAAACAAATGGATTCCGAAATAATCGTGGACAAAAACAATTTCTGCCCGCAAGCGATCGAGTCAGTAGAGCCATCCTCCAAATAACTCCGGAGAAAAAAAAAAAAAAAAACTAGACCCAAGTGTTGAGCATTCCGACTTAAGAATCCCCCCAGCGCCAGGGACTCTTAGAGTCTTTGCAGACTCCCCTCAAAAACCAACACCCGAACAAAGGAGGTTGCCAAATATAAGTGTCCAGCATATCCCTCCCCCCCTTTTTTCCCAGGAATTGTTCACCCCCCCTTTTGTCCCTCCGACGGACGGACCAAAAGAAGCCGAACACGGGATTAGTGTCACCGAACCCGCGCACCGGACGTTTCCCGCGCGGTTTCCGGTTTGCAGCGGTGTGCAGGCGGTTCTTCCGGGTGCCCCCAGCCCTGGCGGAGCGTTCTTGGTCCATCTCCAGCAGGGGGCTCACGGCCAGCAGAACCACCTGGCGCGAGCGTTGACGCTCGGCCCTGGCAGAAACAGAATCGAATCCACAAATCTAGGGCTGGACCCAAAGCCACCAGCAAGCCCTCTAGGCATGGACGCCTGGAAGACCCGCGTGCCCCCCGCGGGTTTTTTCGGGAAGCGGGGGCCTCCGAGGCTCCGATCGGAGCCTCGGAGCGGGGGACAAATTTGGAGTGGCCTGCCAGACCTCTCGGCACGGGCGGTGGGGCAAGGCAAAAAGAACCAAAAAAACACGCGGGCGGTGGGTTTTTTGTGTGTTTTTTTTGTGCTGTGGCCGCCCTGGCGAAAAAAACCAAGGACGAGAGCCCCAAACAAAAAAAAAGAAGCCGGCAGGCAAAAAGAATGGAAGACCTAGGGTTTGGATTGAGGTGTGGGGTTTCTCTGGGGAAATGAAATCAAGACTGCTTCGACCCCCTCCCAAAAAATGGCACGGGCCTCGGAAACCGCCCAACCGTCGGCAACTCGCAGAGGTCTTTTTCACGAGGTCTTTGGCTGTCTCGCTCTCTCTGGACCTATTTGGCTGTGGCAACCAAAAAACCGGAATTCCAAAATGGGCTGCCCGATCGGTCAGTGGAAAGACCTGGGTTCCAAAACCTGCGGTTTGCCCCTGCGATCCTTTAATTTTGAGCCACCATTTTGGACGAGGCCCCCAGAAAGGGATGACAGAGACACAGAAAGGTTGCAACACTTGGCCGACTCCCCGGCTAAAAGCTTCACTTTTCGTGCTGTGGAAACCCAAAGCCTTGGAACCGGATGGCTGGCCACCACCGAGAAAAATCGACCCTCACAAATTTCCCCCCCCCCCCCCCTAAAAAAAAAAGGCGGGACAGCAAAGAACAAGCATTCCCCACGCCCCCCACCACACACACACACACACGCGCACAAAACCTCCCCCCCTTGCCCCCCCGCCCCCCACGGAGACCCGTCAAACGTGGCCTGTAGAAAGGCCAGAACGAAGGTGTCGGACCAGTTGGCCCCCCATGTGCGCCAGGGCCAAGTGCGGATCTGCAACACCTGCCACCAGGGACTTGGGCGTGGGGTCTTTCGGGAACCTTTTTGGAGGTGTGTTTATGAGATTTTGTTTTTGTGTGTGTGAGGGAAGCTTTCCAACCCTTATGCGCTTGCAAAAAACGGGGATTCTTTTTTTGTTCCAAAAAAACATGCCAAGAACAGTCAAGCAACCAACAAAATAATTGCCCTTTTCAGTGTCTCATGACGGGTTTCCCTTCACGATCGGTTCGGTGTCCCTTTCAATTCCTTACGGGCACGGGAGACGCTGAAAACGGGAAGGTGGGGGGGAAAAGGGGATCTGCCTGCCAAGGGGCACCTCATGTTGCAGCGGGGTGGGGCGGGGGGATTCTTCGAGTCCATGTTGCAGCACCAGGGGGGCAGGGGGACGAGTTCTCCAAAGGGATGATATGTCAGTGATTGACCAGCTAAACGACCTCGGCTCTTGCTTTTCAATTGGAAATTTTAGAAAATGAATTTGGGCTCTGCCCCAATTTCTAGTGAGCCTCGAGACCCACCGTGGAAACGCAGGCAGAGTCCCAAATCCAAAGCTGAGTGACAACCCTCCCCACTTGGTTGCTTTCAAAGTTACTGGGGAACCGGTTCGTGCGTGATCCTTAGTTTGGAAGAATATCTTTGCAAATCAAGTGCTTTATCAACACAAAAGATGTGTCAGGGTATGACTGTGTTCAAGCATGGCTCATGGCGCATTTGCTT